ATAACTTAATAGAAAAGCAATGAAAATGGGAAATCATGAGAAAAAATAAAACCAAAACTGGTTCTTTAAAGAGATTGACAAAATTGATGAATTTATGCAGAGATTAAGAAGAAAGAGGGCATGAATTACACCAGAAACGAAACAACATCACTACAGATATCATAGACATTAAAAGAATAAGGACACGCTAGGACCAACTCTATGCTCACAAATTTAATAACCTAGAAGAAATGGATCAATTCCTTGCAAGATACAATCTGATAAAGATCACAAAGGCAAAAATAAACCATCTGACCAAGCCTAACTTTGTAAAGATGCTGAATAATCATCTTCCAAAACTGAAAGCACCAGGAACAGGGGAGTGCACTAGTGAATACCACTACATGTGTAAGGGAAAAATTAAGCCAATATTATAGTTTTAAGCAGAAGACAAAATCACAGGGAATGCTTCCTATCTTATTCCTACCAAGCCCAGCATATAAAGTAAAATTCAGAAAAAGGAAAAACTATGGAGACAGTAAAAAGACCAGATGGTGCAAGGAGGTAAGGAGTGCTGTGATGCATGCTCATAGCACAGAGGATTTGTGGGCAGTGAAACTACTGCTTTTTAATTGAGATTAAAAAAAAATTTAGGGCCAGCCAGATAGCTCAGTAGACTAAAGTCCTGCTTAGGCAGAGTGCAGTGGCCGGGGTTTGATCTCTGAGTGCCGTTCCAGACCCGACCGAAGGGTACACTGAAACAAGGATTGAGGCTGGGCGTGGTGGTGCATGCCTGTAATCCTAGCACTTGGGAGGCTGAAAACAGAATGATTACTAGTCCAATCTATGTAGTGAGACCCTGCAGACTCTGTACTAAATACATTAAAAAAATTTTAAATTAGTGTATATTTGCAACACATCATAGTTACATTCATTTTGGGAGGCAAGTACATGTACATAACATATCTTGGTCATTTTCCATCTTCTATCTCCTTCTCCACCAGTCCTGAACCCACTTCCAACAAGTCCTCTTTGCTTTTTATTGTCTCTACTTTTTTTTTTTTTTTTTACTATTTTATGTTTTATCTTTCTAATATTAAAAAAATGGCTATTTTTATTTATGTATTTATTTAGAGACATGGTCTCACTCTGCAGTTCTGGCTGGCCTTGTGCTCACTTTTGTAGCCCCCAGGCTGGTCTTGAACTCACAGAGATCCTTCTGGCTCAACCACTCGAGTGCCGGGATTACAAGTGTGCGCCACTGCGTCCAGGCACCTGGGGCCGCCGGGTGGGTGCCTGGGCATTCAGGGTTGAGAATTGAACTCAGGTCCTTGTGCTTGCCAGGTGGGCGCTTAAGCCTCTGAGCTATCTCTGGTCTCAAGTTTCATCCATTTTCTTGCAAATAACATGACTTCATTCTTCTTGAGGGCTGAACAGCATTTCACCATGTATGGATGCCACATTTTCTTTATCCATTTGCCTGTTGAAGGGCATCTATCTAGGCTGTTTAAAAACATTAATGTATGGATCTAAAGGTAGAATATATATGTATATATTTTTTAAACTGCACATATAAAAATATTTATATATTCATTCTCTGTCCACATTAAGATAATTTCCACTGACCATTTCTGAGCAAGTAATTAAACTTGATTTCTGGGATAACAGCACCACAGTATCTTTCTAATGTACAATATGTCTATGTTGGCATTTCAAAAATGCACTTATTTTCTCATGCTTATTGTCTTAGGCAATAGCAGATTTTGTGGGGTTTTTGTTCCTTTCTTGTTTTGCTCTAAAGACAGTCCTGCTTTGTAGAGCAAGTGGCTTTGAACTCCCTGTGTGGCCCAAGCTGGCCTCAAACTGGCAGTAACATATACACTGGCACTCAGACGTAATATATAAGAAGCAGTCTTACAATCCACGCTTACCAAAAATCACATTCTGCCGAGTAAAGTTTATAATACATAACAATAATCATATAACCAGATTATATAAATCTAAAAAATCTATTTCTAAAAATCTGCAAATTTTGAAAGGAATCGCTGAGAACACTTAGGTCATTTTCATCTGTTTGAGATCTATTGCAAAAAGCCCAAATTCATTATGCACAGCCTGTGACTTAATGATTTTTTTTTTTGTCCTTATTTATGGTGCAAAATACATTTAGCAGAAACCGTACTTCCTGCTCTTCTGGGCCAGCACTACGTCTGCTGAACACTCTTGCAACGCCGAGCAGTGGTAGTGGGCTGCAGCTCTCATACAACCTCTGGATCAGGAGGGTGAAGCGCCCATTCTCTATGTGGTGCACTCACAGTTGAACTATGAGGTTCAGTAGGCTTGGTATGTTAAGTGTTTTTGACTTACGATATTTTAAATTTATAATGGGTTTATTGGGATGTAAACCAATAAAACAGGACCTTCATATTTTACTTCTGTCTGTATTTTTAGTATCATCTTTCAACTCTATATCACTGGACCCACTGTGTCAGCTGTGCCAAAACCTCCCATTGTATTATTAGTTTTTTAAAAAATTTTAGGGCCTGGGAGATAGCTCAGTTGAATAAGCACTTGCCTGACAAGTGCAAGGGCCTGAGTTCAATCCCCCGTTCTGCCAAAAAAAAAAAAAAAATTTTTTTTTACTTTTTTTTTTTTTCAGTACCAGGGATTGAACTCAGGACCTTGTGCTTGCCAGGCAGGTTCTTATTCTACTGAGCTATCTCCCTGGCCCCTATTTATTTGTTTGATACAGGATCTCACTAAGCAGTTCAGACTCCTAGTGATCCTCCTGTCTCAGCCTCCCCAGCGCTGGGATTACACGCCTGAACCACCATGCAGTACGAGGGATTGAACTCAGGTCCTGGCATGTTTGCCAAGGCAGGTGCTTAGACTGCTGAGCTCTCTCCCCAGTTCTATGCTATTAATTTGTTAAGCCCTTTCATAAATTGGAGTTCATACTACTCCTTCAGTCTGACATTCACCAAGACCTGTTCACACTAAGTAAGCAATGATTCATCTTTCCTCACACCATTTGAAACACAATCACACAGACTAAAGAATTTATGAGAAGTCTGAACACAGAACTGTGTGGGGTAATTCTAGGTAAAAAAAAAAATCTCAGTTGTGCTATTAGCCTCGATTTTTTTTGTAGAATACAGCATACAAATGTATATGACTATTATTGAGAATAACTAAGGCTCTATTGTGGGAAAAAGGAGAGTAGAACATATTACGACAGAAAATGAGGAAGAATCCTGCATTACTGGATTTAACTTGCAGGTACCAATGTGAACACTAAAAATGGTGGGGGAGAGGGTGCTCCCTGGACCAGTTCACTAAAGAGCAAGGGCAAGAACAGCAATCACCAAATCTGTACCTTTTTTGATCTTTAAATACCATCTTCTACTACAAAGGCAAAATTAGGACAGGAGAGAAAACAGCTGACTCCAGGTCTGAAGCCAGAAAAATACAAGGTAAACATGAAGGATACGTTAGACTTTAAGGAAGCGCCCAAGACTACCAGTAAATAAAAAGACATGGTGAAGATCACAGAACAAAGTCACATGGAGCAATTTTAGCATCAACAAAGCTAAATATTTAGTATCAAAAATTTAAGAAGTACATAATTACTACATATATAAGAAAAAAGAATTCCACATAGCAAATACTAAAAAATTGATTAGATTTTCTTTACCTTTTTTTGTATCCCCACGTAACAAACGATAAAGATTAGAATCCTTAGTGCATGGTAAAATCAGTAAGTAAAAGGTTGTTGTGGCAGGCTTTCAAGGTATGATCCTGCAGATTATGTGCTAAATATGACAAGGAAAATGTCTTCAAAGGGATCTGGTTATCACCACCTTAATCACATGATATAATTAAGCAACACTAGTAGTGGGACAACCTGATATTATTTGTGATGGGATGTGCTATGAGGTTAGTATTACATATCTTCTCTGTGTAATGCAGTTGCTAAAAATGCTCATTTTGAATCACATAAGAAATAATTAGATAAATTGAAAACGTAACACATTGTACAAAATAACTACCCCAGACTATTGGAAACAGAAGTCTGAGTAATGAAAAACTAAAGAACTACAGGGGCTAGGGAGATGGCTCAGTAGAATAAGTACTTGCATGGCAAGTGCAAGGGCCTGAGTTCAATCCCCAGTTCTGCCAAAAAACAAAAACAAAAACAACTAAAGAAGTACAAACAGTAAAGACATATGATAGATTTAAAGAGACATATTAAACAGGAATCATGATTTTTTCACATAAAAGTGAAACAAAAAGCGTTAAACATACTTCAGAGACAAATGGGGAAATTTAAATACATCTATTACATATTACTGAATTACTATTAAAATTCTGAAGCCATATAGTGATATGATGGTCCTGAAAAGGCTATTCTTAAGAGATATATGCCAATATATGTGGGAGTTAAATGTCAAAGTATACGTAACTTCCAAATGGTTCAGCAAGATGTTAATTGGTAAACATAGAAGGAAGTATATGGGTACTCACTGCGCTGTAAATTTGGGATTTTTACAATAAAAGTTTTGGGGGTGGGGCAGAAATCTCAATTCAGGTGTCACATCTTCTCTGAAGGCATTTTTTACTTTTCTAGTAGAATTATCATTTTTTATTTTCAGTATCGTCACAGTACTGTTTATATTTCTATTTATCACTTTAGATATTTTTTAACTGCCAACTTTCAGTCTGATCTTTTACTTAAACTGTGTAGAACTGCTTTCATTTTCATTCCCAGAACTTATTCTTTGTCTGGCACCTAGCTAGTCAGTATTTGCTGTATGAATGACATTCCAAAGTAGTATCCCAAGAATTACCTAAATTACACCATGCCTGAAATGTAATCAAATCAGTCAAGTATTAAATGGTTTTACATGACATCTACAACAATGAGCACATCATCATGTAAAAGAAACCATGACAACCCTAAAGCAGCCTCCCTCTTTTAACCTCTTCCGTTTCATCTCAAGACAATTAGAGAAGATGCATACCTGCTCTATGTCCTTGGAACTGGAGGTAGGGTTTTCTTCCATGACTCCGGGCTGTTCATTTTCCCATGGCAACTTGTTTTTTCCTTTTCCTGCACTTAGTACCCTCCGGGTGCAGATAGTTGGGCTATAAGATCCATACATTTGCATACTATCTCTCGTGGGCTCACCACAGTGACAGTGCGCACTCTGATTTCTGTTACCAGCCAAAAGCCAGTCTGTATCTGCTCCATGTGCCAAGTGGCTTGATCTACTCTGGGCTGAAGATGGCATAAGTATTGCATATTCCACAAATCCTTTTTCTGTTAGCCTCGGTAGAGTTTTTCGAGCCAATCTAGCTTGCACAGCATTCATCACGCCATCTCCATTATCTTGCATTTCAATAGTATCCACGGCTTTAAAAAGGATGTTGGTTTTACCTGAGCCCATTGATGATGCCAACACAGCAAAGGCTTCTAGAGCTGCTTGGCGTACCCTGCGTTTGGTATCTACAAGAGCTGGGGCAAGATCAAAAGACAGTTTGGGTAAATCAAAATCCTCACTGGGATAGGTCAGAAGGGAGCAGATGCAAATGTTCACCACCTCTTCTCTCACTCTGGAATGCTTATGTTTAAGATGTTCCAGGAGTAAACAAAGCACCTGTTGAGGACCTACTTCTTTCATTAGTTTGAGAAAGATCTTCATATATTCCTGTTTGATCACTAACTTGTTGTCTGCCAGTACTTTGACAGAAGCTGTTACAACTGGTCCCAAGAACTGTTGCACCTGCTCTCCAAGGCGAATAACCAGCAAATGCAGAACCTGAAGTGCGCCAAGGACCACTTTGAAATTAGAATCGTCTAACAAATTATACAATAAGCTAATGAAACCAACAAGACTGGAATGAGTGGTAGAACTAGGGTTAAATTTTCCCAGCACCTGTTTCAGTTCTTCAACGGCCTGAGTCCGGTTCTTATAGTCTTCCTGATCTAATAATCTGGAATGTAGTTCCTGAGGAATAATCCCAAATTTAAGGTTGCTATTGGAAAGAGTCACCACACAGGGGACAGGCTCATCAGGAAATCCAGAGGTTTCAAGTTCCAAATAATAAGGAACCTGACTTCCCAAGTGGGTCTCCAGGCGGCGATTGTAGAGTCTCCTCAGGGCAGACGGGAGGCGAGAGATATAGGAGTGAAAGCGCTCTTGGCCAAGTCGCTCCCCAATTTGCTCAAGTGCGGAGAAAGCTGTCTCCGATTCGTCTTCTATCTCCTGGTCACCAAGCTTTCTAGCTAGGGCTATTATCACTTCGGTGAGATCCAGGCCGAGCAACAAATCCTCAGGAGTAAGTAAAACAGGGAGCAGCAGCGCAGTGGACGCTCTGAGCTGGGCATCGGCACTTTCCAGACCTTGTTGAATAAGCGCTCTCAGCACCTGTCCAGAACTACGTTTCAGACATATATGCAAGATCTGAAGCGCATCTTTCCGCACGGCTGGATCCTCTTCGCGTAAGGAGACAACCAGTTGAGGCAGAAGTGCTAAACTAAAGGCCTCTTCCAGCTGGCCTGCGTCCCCCTGACCCCGGAGCACGTCCAAGAGAAGTTGCAAGCACAGTCGCTTCTCATCACTACCTCCTTCCACAAGCACGCGGCCCAGGGCCCGGTACAAAGCTTCTTTGCGTCGCGGCAAGCCAAGCCGACCGCCCCGCCGCGGCAGAGCAGCCTGCAAAGCCTGTAAGGCCTCGGAAGGATCCGGGGCGGCGCGCAAGAGCTGAAGGAGCCTGGTCTCCTCTTCATCTCCTCCTGACAAAGCTCCTCCGGGCCCGGACCAGCTGCTCGAGGCTGCCTCGGCGGGCAACAAGAGCGTCGAAGGCAGAGGTGAAGGCGTGGAAGGGTAAGAACCGTGGTCTCCAGCAACTCCACGGCAGTAGTAGCTTTTTTCTCCTCTCATGGTGCCCGCAGCTCGACGAACATCAGTCTCTGGGGCAGGAGGGCGACTGTGACTCGGGGGGCGATAGGCACAGGGGGCTACGAAGGGTGGCACCGGGGGCAGCGCTGACGGCGCGGCCGCCATGGAGGGTCGTCAGGGTACTGGAGGGAACCATTGCCGTCTCCGAAGTGTTCGATAAAGCCCAGCCTTCCAGGTCCTCTCCACGCCCCCAGCTGCAGAGGAGGAAAAGAAAGTCCAAGCGAGCTGCCAGGCCGCCTCCGACTGTGGGAGGCAGCCTTGAGCAAAATGGCCCCCGCCTAAGCACCAGACCCCAAGGCTGCCACCGGGCGTAACCAGGGGCCCCACGTGACCAAACCGATGGCTTCCATGGTGATGGGCCCAGCGCAGCCCTCCCGACCCGGAAATCGATCTGCCGAAATGAATGATGGGGCTTGTAGTTCACGTCAGGGGTTAAGCCCGGACAGGAGGCTCGTGGGAGAGGAAGTCTGAACGCCCGCACGTACTAGAGCGGAGGAGGGGCGGGGCGAAGCCATTCGGCGGAAGTGACGCGCTCCGCTCCCCGGGCGGAAGCTCCCCGCCCCACCCGTAAGAGTTGGAGATTGACCAGAGCGAGTGAGAAATCTGTCCGGGCTCCCGCTGTCCGCCGCTCCTCCTGCTGTTGTTGCAGGTGTGCTTCCTGGGACTCAGGTATTTTCCTTTTGCTGTCCCCAAGCGCTCAGGCTTTGGCAGGGTTTTGCCCGACTGCCCTTGGAGCTGCAGCGAGAGCGAAAGAAAACACGGGAGCTGGCAGGGAGGGAGGCGACATCTTCTGCACTGCCGGTTCCCTTGGTAGACGCGTTATCCTCCTCAGCCCGGAGCAGGTGCGGTCCTTTCCACTCCTGCAGTCCGCTTGCCCGTACAGGCGACCGCGACACCTAGGCCACGCTCCTGGACCAGGTGCTTGTTTCCCCTCCTCCTTCAATTCCTGGACCTTTGGGACCTTATTTACGCCGCCTTGTCCCCTTCTCGTATTTCTCTTCTCCCGACGGCTGTGGAGGGGTCGCGTTTTTCTCTCACTCCTCCTTACCCACATCACTGTACATTCCCTTTAAAATGCACATGACGGGTGCGTTTTAAACGGGTTAAGTCTGTTTGCTCTGTTGGTGCCCGCCTCGCCGCAGCGGCTCTCGGGGTCCCCCTCCTAGCCCTGTGCCACCGCGGGACTCCCCCAGCCTCCCTCCCGCCCCGGGCTCTGGCAGCCTTTGGTCTCCTGGAAACCAGATCGCGGGGACAGTCAATCAGCTGCAGGGGGAATTCTTGGCGTCGCGGCCCCCAGGGAACTCTGCCCGGTGACTCTAGGGTGGGTGTATATTTCATTGTTTCAGGCGAACTGAGAATTTGGTGGGCAGCTTATACTTTTCATAAAGGAAACGTAAGCAGATTTCGTGGAGGAGCTGGAGTACTTTTTGTGAGGCTGATTGGGATGTGGAAGATGGATTAAAAAATAGTATAGTTACTTTTGAATGAACCAATGAGAAAAGTCTTGAGTTATAATTTAAAATCCCAGTTTTGTCTACTTCAAATACAAATATTCCTGCCCCTGTTTGTACCAGGTAAGATGCATTTCAAGTAGGGTGTTTTGTTTTGTTTTGTTTTGTGTTTTGTACTCTCAATCTCGTGCTTGCCGGATATCCTTGGCCTTTAAGTACTTTTTAAAATCTTAAAGAGTACTTGAATCATATTCCAAGCCTTTTTTTTTTTTTTCAATTTTATGTATTTCATATAGGGTTTCACTGCGCAGCTCACACTCCTAGTAAGCTTCCTGTTTGAGCCTGCCTAGCGTCGGGATGCGTGCGCCACTATACCCCGACTTGGTGGCGGGCGTGGCATATGGTACCTTTGATCGACCCGGGTCCTTGTGTTTGCCTAGGCAGCCGCTTAGACACTGAGCCATCTTCGCGGTCCCAAACCATTTTAGAATGTTTCTGGCAGGTACGAGTTCAAGAATTACTAAATTTTGTTATATCACAGTTTGAATAGCGCAAGTGAGAGTATTAAGGTTAAAAGGACTGTAAATTTGTGTTAGGTTTTAAGTTCTGCCTTGTTAGTTTTGTTATTGACTTGGCTGTACAACTAAATCTGCCTACACTGGCTAAACTAGCATGTTTCAGTATAACAAATGGTGAAAACCACTTTTGCCCATTTTAAGGAATAGGATGAGGCGTGGGGTGTAAAACCCAGGATGATTATAGCGGTGAGAAAGAGCGTGTAGATCTCAGGCTTCACCTAAGAAGCCCAGGTGTGTACTTCTCCTCTTGTATGCTGAGACATCAGGAACCAGGTCCGATGGGATGTAAACAAGAGAATGATGAGCACGTTAGAATGCACACATTAAAATGCCTGTTTATGTTGCAATAGTAGATAACCCTTTCCAGTGAACGGAATTTCCAGGTTGAAAATTCAGTATGCTCTGTCTTGTGTTGAAGAATTAATTTTGGTAGCCAAGTTAATAACAAGAGCTTGTGTGGTAATTAGAGTCAAAGAAAAGGTGCTTAGAAAGTATCAGATGGTGTTTCATCATCATACATACAAGCTTAAAAATTAGACCTTCTGTGATACTTTTCAAGGGACTTGAATACCGAAAGGAAGCAGTTAGCCCTTTTTCAGGGAACAAAGCAAAATGAGCCACTTTGGCTCTTCTTCTTTTCAGATCTCTGTTATAACTGTGTTTTTTAAAAATACCTATTACAAAGCTGGGCATGGTGGCACCCATGTAATCCCAGCCCTTGGGAGGCTGAGGCAGAAGGATCACTTTGAGTTCGGGTCCAGTTTGGGGGACAGAGTGAGTTGCAGGCAGCTTGAACTGCAGAGGAAGATTAACTTTTGGTCTCCTTGAAAAAGACTTGGAAAGTCAGGAGAGTCCATGGTAGATATTTAGAAAATGAGACCTACGTGCTATCACATGTCTTGTGTCTTGTGACACATGACAGCAGTTATCTTCTATGGTTATCTTGTATAAATCTCATCCACGTAAGGTATATAGTGTTCTGTTTATATCTATTACAAATGCAAAGCAGGGTTTTAAAAACTAACAGTTTTGGCCGGGGGTTATAGCTCAGTAGCATAAGTGCCTGCCTGGCAAGCACGAGGTCCTGAGTTCAAGTTCCAAGACCCCCCCCCAAATTATTTATTTATGCATGTGTGTGTGTGTGTGTGTGTGTGTGTGGCCAGCTCAGCCCACCAGGGGGCGGGGCTGGCTGGCATGTGGTGCTGGGGGATTGAAGCGTGGTCCCTGTGCTTTGTTGAGTTTGTTCTAAGTAGGTGTTTTAGACCACTGAGCCATCTCACCAGCCCCCCCAAAAAATTCAAAAATAATAATTTCATTCTTGATTCTAGGAGTTCTTTATGTACTGAGTAGAAAAACCTTTATATTTAATTATAGATACAGACAGGTAACAGATTTTTAATCAAATTCCAGAATAATGAAATACACTTTTAGCTTTATTATTTATAGAAAGTTGGAAGTAAGTAGTTAAGGATACATTGAAAATTGCGTATTCATGCAAGCATTGAAAATTTAATGAAATACAGGCTTATCTGTGTTACTCAGTTTTTGAACTGAACTTAAGCAGAGTACACACAATTGCTCTAAGGACATCTTTTATTTCCACTGTCAGAGAATAAAAATTAAGAGTTTCATAATCTCTGAAGAATAGTTATACTTTAAGAAGTGATTATGAGGGTCCAGGGATATAGCTCAGTGGCACAGTGCCTGCCTAGTGAGCATGAGGTCATGAGTTGGATTCCCAGTAGCAAAAAAATAAATAAGTAAAGTTATTATAAAATGGTGCTATGCAAGTGAAAGATGCTGTTAATGTTAAATAAGTATAATAATGCCATTTAGTATTTGCTGTATGCCACATACTGTGTTAGGTACGTAATGAATATTAACTAAGCACAGTATTTTGTTTTTGACGGAACTGGGGATTGAACTCAGACCCTTGCACTTTCCAGGGAAGCACTTATTCTACTGAGCCAACTCCCTGGCCCTAAGCACAGTATTTTGGAAGCTACATTTATACTACATTTATATTATGGCAGATTTCTTTATTTCTTTTTTGTTTTTGTATTTAGTACAGGGTCTGCAAGGTCTCACTACACAGATTGGACTCGTAGTGATTCTCCTGTTTTCAGCCTCCCGTATGCTAGGATTACAGGTGCATGCCACCACGCCCAGTCTCAATCCCCATCTCAACGTGCCCAGGGGCGGGGCTGGCATGGCATGCCAGGGATGCGCACCCTGGCCCCTGGGTCTGCCTAAGCAGGTGGTTTAGTCCGCTGAGCTATCTGGCCAGCCCTTATACTATGGCAGATTTCATGGGTATTTCCTTGAGAGAACCATTGGTCAGAGGAAAGTAAAACTAAGATTAGTCAATTTAGCTATTTGCCTAAAGCTTTGGGAAAGTTGAAGAAAAAGGAGTGTTGAAACTATAGAATATAATTAGATCTTTCCACTATTAATCATAGATATCAACAGCTTAGAACTCTTAAGATTCTAAAGTTTCAAATACTTATTTTTATTAGTGGCTGTATTATAAGGAATGAACAAATCAACTCATAACCTTGAAAATGTGCGTATTGTATTCAAATGAATTTCTTATGCCTGTGACTTGAAATAAATTAACATAACATATGGAATTTTAAATTTATGATCTAGAAAAGGCAAAATATGGCAAGCTCAGATTAAGCATTACTCTTGAATTCTTTAGAAAACTGAAAGTCTCATTTCTTGGACTTTCCTCTGGACTTGGAATTTACTGCACTAGGTGCTGGTATTGCTGGAAATATAAATGGTTGGGAAATTCTTTAATGTATGGATAATAATAGATCCTTATGGATGTTTTGGAGTTAGCCTAGACCTTTTTCTTCTCAAAATAAAACACTATCAAAATTTTTAAAAAATCATAGATATCTTTGCTATGTATGATTAAGTATGGAGTTTATTCTTTTTTGGCTTGTTTAGAATCTTAGTTGCTTGAGTCAAAACATAAATACGGTTAAATTATGACCTTAGTTTTATACCTGTGGGATTAAATATGTGGTATATTTTATGTCTTCCTTTATGCATCTGTACCCCGAGAAGTATAAAAATCCAATTTTCAAAGTTATTAGGAAATGGTTCTATGCAAATGAGTTTTCAACACTAATTTTTATAAGTTCACAGGATGTCACATCTGTTGCAACCAGTTCTTCAATGGATGGGTTAATTATGTAACTTGGAGCTTTTAGTGCATGTAGTCATGCCTTTGGGGAGTTGTTTTATTTTTTGATATTTCTGATTCCGTGATTCCATGAAGCTTGTTATGATAAGCTTCTAATTTTGCTTCTTCTGATACAATAAAAATATCAGAAAAAAGAAAAATATACCA